TTGACTGTTTCTCAGTGTCAGACACTACTACATATGCTAAATGCTGTATGTTAATTTTCTTATTTAATCTTCCCAACAGTTCTGTAAGGTTGGTGCTGTTATTGTCTTCATTTTATACATATGGAAGCTTAGTCTCCGAGAAGTTGAGTTGATCAAGATTTCAAAATTATTAAGTTGTAGCCATGGCTCACGGGCCTAGCCTCTCCACGGCATGTGGGATCTTCCCAGACCGGGGCATGAACCCATGTCCCCTGCATTGGCAGGCGGACTCTCAACCACTGAGCCACCAGGGAAGCCCTGGTTATCTATTTTAAATATAGAAGTGTGTACATATCAATCCCAAACTCCCAGTCTACCCCTCGCCACAACCGTTCCCCCTGGTAACCATAAGTTCCTTCTCTAAATCTGTAAGTCTGTTTCTGTTTTGTAAATAAGTTCATTTGTATCATTTTTATAGCTCATGTGACTCAATATCCCCAAAACAAACAACCCAGTCAAAAAAATGGGCAGAAGACCTAAATAGACATTTCTCCAAAGAAGACATACAGATGGCCAAGAGGCACATGAAAAGATGTTCAACATTGCTAATTATTAGAGAAATGCAAATGAAAACTATTGATACAGTGAGATATCACCTTATACCAGTCAGAATGGCTATCGTCAAAAAATCCACACTGGAGAGGGTGTGTAGAGAAGGGAACCCTCCTACACTGTTGGTGGGAATGTAAATTGGTGCAGCCACCATGGAAAACAGTATGGAGGGTCCTTAAGAAACTAAAAATAGCACTACCATATGATCCTACAATCCCACTCCTGGGCATATACCCAGAGAAAAACATAGTCTGAAACGATACACGCACCCCAGTGTTCATTGCAGTGCTGTTACAATAGCAAAGGCATGGAAGCAACCTAAATGTTCATCAATAGAAGAATGGATAAAGAAGATGTGGTACATATATACAATAGAATATTACTCAGCCATTAAAAAGAATGAAATAATGCCATTTGCAGCAACATGGATGGACCTAGAAATTGTCATACTGAGTGAAATAAGTCAGACAGAGAAAGAGAAATAGCATATGATATCGCTAATATGCAGAATCTTTAAAAAATGATACAAATGAACTTATTTACAAAATGGAAACAGACTCACAGACTTAGAGAATGAATTTATGGTTACCAGGGGGGAAACATGGTGGGGGAGGGATCGTTATGGAGTTTGGGATTGAGATGTACACACTGCTATGTTTAAAATGGATAACCAACAAGGACCTACTGTATAGCACAGGGAACTCTGCTCAATATTAACATTGTTAATCAACCGTACACCACATAAAAATGAAAATGAAAATTAAAAGTTAAAAAAAAACAAATACAAAAAAATGTCCTGACCTACTACACACCCTTTGCATATTTTCCTTGTTTTCTCTTTACAGAAAATTAGGCTACAATTTCCAAGAGGTCAGGGTTGTGTCCTTTCAAATTTGTGTCTCCAGTGGTGAGCATAGTCCTTACATACAGATGGAAAACAATTTAGCTGAATACTTGGCACTTAATGAGCAATCAATGATATTTATTTTCTAACTTATAAGGAAAATGTCCAATGAGAAGAGGGACATTGATGTGGATCGAATGTGTCCTCCAAAATCTTATGTTGAAGCCCTGACCTCCAGTGTAATGGTATTGGGAGATGGGGCCTTCTGGAGGTAATTAGATTAAGTCATGAAGGTAGGGCCCTCATGGTGGGATTAGTTCCCTTATAAAGAAGAGAGAGATAGAGATCCATCTTTCCTTCTGTGCAAACACTCCTAGAGAAGACCATATGAGCACACAGCTAGAAGGCAGCTGTTTACAATCCAGAAAGAGGGCCCTCATAAAGAAATGAACAAGGCAGCACCCTAATCTTGGGCTTCACAGCCTCCAAAACTGTGAGAAATGAATGTATGTTGTTGAAGTCACCTAGTCCATCACATTTTGTTATAACAACCTGAGCTGACTAAAACAGAAATGCAGCAAGTGACATTTCAAGTGAATTCTCTAGCAACGTTGCTTTGGATACTCAATAACGTAGAGCAAATCCATGAGCTAAGCACAGCCATCTCCCTTAAGGCGAGAGAAGTATGCAGCCATCACTGTATTCAAGGTATGACCAAGAACCATGCAGAATAAACACTGTGCTCTTAGAACACTGAGAATAGAAAAAAATAATTCTAACTAGGAGGGCAAGAAAAAATTCACTTGAATCATAGAGTAGGCATGACAGCAATGGAGAATGCAGTGAAGGAAAGGGGGCTGCAAAATCTGATTGAGTTTCCTCAGCAGAAACTTAAGCTATAGGACTAAAAGATTATGTAGCAGACATGCTCCAGAATTTAAATTACCAACATGTAAATTATTTTTTAAGTTTTCATCAATAAATTCTCATAATATTGAACTGCCTACCTAATGAAATTTGTGACTTTTAAAATCCACAGTGAATATATTTTATATGTATACATGTGTATGTATATATGTATTCATAAACACACACACATGCATGATGCAATAAAAAAAATCTGTCTGCATTATCCAATCTTCTGGAAGAGAAAATAAAAATAAAATTACATTTTTGGGGCTATATTACTTTTTTCCAAATACAGGTTGAAAATTGCTTACTTGGATATTTCACAGATTCCAGGGAAAACCATTCAAATACCCTTCTCTTTTCAAAGAAGAGGTGAAGATTTTAAAGAAATGTAGATGAGAATAGCCATATATTATGGAAAATAAGAAAAACTATGATTTGTAATGCTCATGTCACAATGCTCTGAAATAGGCATTGAGGAAACTGAGTCACAGAGAGGTTAAGTGATGTACTCACACACACTCCCAGTCAGCTCCCAGTTAGGTACATAATATCACTGTGGCTATAATTAGCCAACTCTGAAGACTCAGCAGTTAAATGTCCTCATTTAAAAGTTATGTTTCTGGTATTCAGAGAAAAACTGTTTCATGACTGAAAAGTTTGCTTCTTTTACATACACCCTTATCACATTTTATTATTCAGGATTTTTCAAATATTATCTGTGAGGTGCCTGCAGAGAGATTCAAAACCCAAGTATACATAAAATACAATTTCCACCACTATTGAAAAGATAAAGACTATGAGCAAAACGTAAATATGCCAGAGAAGCTTTTAATGCTAATCTGTAAAATGAAATGCTCTACAGTACATCAACTTAGATTTATTGAACTTTATCTTAAACATTTTGGATCTCTGTTATTATTTTTTGAAAAATGAGCAATCTCTAAGACACGTGCATCTAAATGCTTCCTATGTTTTCCTGTGATAAGCCAAGAGAAATAATAAATATTTATTATTTATCTCAATGACAAGACATATGTTTATTAATAGTAAATCAGTTAAAGTAACAATCAGTAATTTCCTCTACACATTCAGGGTCATAAAGAGCCCAGTTTTACTAATGGGCTTAAATAAATGTATTTTGAGTTGGAGACAAGTGTAATGTGCCCATAAATTGACAAAGCTGCTTTTCCCAAAGTCACTGGACTTAATAAGGCTGAATCTTTGCTCCTCCCTTAGGCTAACATGAAGTGGAGGCAGTATGTGGCTTCCTGGCAGGTGGGGGAGATTGTGTGGGTAGCTGTGCATTCAATCAATGACCCGTTTCAATAAATTTACCCAGGATTTTTCCTAAACATAAATAAAATACATTATTATGCAACTTTCTTCCCTGAGTTTGGTTGAATTAAAAAAATACTGTAGACCTAGAGTTTTCAAAGGAGGTTCAGAAAGATATAAAGGAGAAAAATATTGGCCTAAAATTTCTGGAGATCCTTCAGGATGTAATAAAAACCCAGAGAATAATATGAAATGGAAATACATATTTTAAAATGATTTTGACAGAAAAACGAGATTATACAGATTAATCTGTCATCGAGAAATCGACCAGTTACAGACAAAAACAGAACATTAGAAGATTTATTTTGTTTTACTTAATTTTGACTCTTCATCCTGAAAATAGTATTTCCCTAATCTACAATTTGTCCATATCCCCTTTCATCCAAATATAAGGAATCACAGAAACAAGCAGTAAGAAAGCCCCAGATGTAATGCATCATTAGGTACTTGTAACAGTGGTTCTCAGGGTTTTTTGCCCACCCTCCCCCAGTCCACTGAGATTTGCTTTAGAAGTTGGACTGGTATCTATAACATTTATTTTAATAGCAAGTGATCCTGAGGCACGTAACAAGAGAACCAGCACTTTCAAGTATACTGCCTGAAACTAACTCCTTTCTGCAAATAACTATTTCAGTTTACCAAGATTTATTTAAATGTAGAGTCTGCAGATTGAAGGTTCTGATGATTGAAACAAAAGCAGAACTGAAAGGCCTCCTTTGTCCTGTCTAAAGTAGGGTGGTGGTAGGGATTTGCAAGGAAGATTTGCTTAAGTCAGTTGATCTCAAAATCCCCTAAGGAGCTCTTAAAAACTAATGATGACTGGAACCAAACCAGAAAGAACTTGTTTCAACAGGTCCAGGGTGAGTCCCAAGTGTCAGGATTTTTTTAAAAGACGTATCCCAAGTGATTCTAATGTACAGGCAATGTTGAGAACTACAGACTTAATTTCTGAAAAACGTATCCACTTTTGTAAGGATGGTGGTTATACCTTAGGGGAAAATTATTTTCCATATTAGACCTCTGGTGTATACTGGAATGTAATATAAAATATTTTCTTTTAACTATTGTAAAATAATGATGATAATAATAATAATAATCCTGCCTAAGAAGCAGCTGGCTCTCTACTAAAGAAAAGTTGTTTTCCAACATTCTCCAAGTGACTATGAAGACTTTACAAACTGGGTTACTATCTCCCATTTACTTCCTGATTTTTCAATGAATCTGATATCTTACTTGGATTCACTTTGATGATAATACAGAATGAAGTAAAGTGAGTACCTTACTCGATTTTACTTTTCAAAGCACAAATAAAGTGTACCTTGCTTCTTGTCCTTGCATCTGCAACCTTAGTGTCATTTGGCATGGATGGAATTGATATCCGAGTTGGACTCGGCTTGAAGAGATTCAAAGGGGGAGGAGGTTGATCATGGAAAACAGTTGAGAGGCAGAGTTGTACCGTCTCTTTCATTGCTTTCAGCTGTGATGCCTATGAAAACAAGAGAGATCACAACACAATGTTTACATGCGGTTCTGGTCATCATTGACCTAATTAGATTCTCCCTTTCCTCCTAGCCTACACTCGTTGCCTACACAAACACGTATTAATTTTCAAATGCAATTGCCTAACATAAATTCCATTATGACGTGCCGTTTAATACACACTCAGTCTGTTTTCAGAGACATATCTTACATTTTCCCCTTGAATTGACATGATTTCAATCATGATACTTTGCTGGCAAGGAAATATACTCTAGGGTCACTTTAAAGTGGAACATGTCCTTCTTAGAAACCTGCCATCTTTCTATTAGCAACAACCTTCTTTATTACAAATCACTCCTCTTGTGATGTAGGCTTCTGTGTTTCTCAGATAGGCCTGTACCTCCACTCAATTTCTGATACAACTCTTACTTCCTCTGGGCCCTGTTAAGTGGTAGGAGTTATTTGGATGTGATTGTAAGTGACAATATCAACATTTTCTATTAAAATAGTATATCATAATATTCTAAGCACTTTCACAAAAAATAACTTTATGCTTTCAAACATCTGTGAAACTGGCATTATTATTTCTATTTCACTATAAAGGAAACTTTTCTTAATTTTTTTTTAAATTTTATACTGGAGTATAGTTGACTTACAATGTTGTTTTAGTTTCAGGTGTACAGCAAAGTGATTCAGTTATACATATACATATATCCATTCTTTTTTAGATTCTTTCCCCATATAGGTCATTACAGAGTATTGAATAGTGTTCCCTGTGCTATACAGGAGATCCTTGCTGATTGTCTACTTTATATACAATAGTGTATATATGTTAACTCCAACTTCCTAATTTAGCCCTTCCCCCATCTTTCCCCTTTGGTAACCATAAGTTTGTGAGTCTGTTTTTATTTTGTAAATAAGTTCATTTGTATCATTTTTTTTAGATTTCACATATAAGTAATATCATATGGTATTTGTCTTTCTCTCTCTGATTTACTTCACTTAGTATAATAATCTCTAGGTCCATCCACGTTGCTGCAAATGGCATCATTTCATTCTTTTTTTGGCTGAGTAACATTTCATTGTATATATGTACCACATCTCTTTATCCATGGTTGCTTCCATGTCTTGGCTATCGTAAATAGTGCTGCAAGGAACACTGGGGTGCATGCATCTTTTCGAATTATGGTTTTCTCTGGGTATATGCCCAGTAGTGGGATTGCTGGATCATATGGTAGTTCTATGTTTAGTTTTTAAAGGAACCTCCATACTGTTCTCCATAGTGTTTGTACCAATTTACGTTCCCACCAACAGTGTAGGGGGGCTCCCTTTTCTCCACACCCTCTCCAGCATTTATTGCAGACTATTTTTTTCTTTAGTTTTACATCCCAAGGCAGACAACCATCTCTCACTCCCATCTAACCCCCAAATCCCACTGCTAAAAATATTTTAAATTGCTGACAAGGTTTAAAAATGAACAAAATTGAGTAAAAATGACAGAGACATCCCCAGGTGCAAAAATGAAGACAGACATACAACCTTGGGAAAATCTCATGGTAACTCAGTGGTAACTGGGGACATGCATAGACCCTAGTAAGACAATAACACATAAACATCCACTTCAAGATATGAAATATGGTCTTTGGGGTGAGAGAGATGAAGACAGAGATTAGGTGCTAAAGCCATATCCCTGGACAAACTGGCATATGTGGAGTTTACCCTTTCACTGTACCCATGGATCAATGAATGAAGCAGCAAAGTCTGTTGTCTCTTCCTGTCAAAGTAGTATACTCCCAACAGAACTACTGCCTTTTATATATGATATCAGGAATACACCTGCATATTGCATCCCATCCTATTTCTTGTCTCCTATAAAGCCCTTGTGGTCAATTTCTTGAGGGTAGTGACTATGACGTTGATCCTTACCAATGCCCACCTCTGCGTTTTCTACTCATAAGTGGTATAAAATTTATCCTTAAGATGAGATTGTCTATTGCTAGCATAGCAGTTAAAGAAATCTCTCTCTGGTCATATCAAGAGATTTTTTAAAAGGCAACAGTAAGAGCAGCAACTGGCAATATATAAGCAATAGGACAAACAAGTACCTCCTTCTCATTAATCTTGCCCTGTCAAGTTGTCCAAGCCAAAATAAAAATCTGATAAGAACTAGAATGGAGGGGCTTTGTTAAGTGGACGAGAGGGAGCTAAGCTGAATGGTAACCTTATATTCAAAATGGTCCCTTTTATTTGCTTGCCTGAGTCACTAGATTCTTGCCCTTTCCCCACTTAATTACTTTCTATGATTGATCCTGTTTGTTTCCTTCATACAATTTATCATTAATTTTAATTTATATGTATATACATATGTATAAGTTGCCTATTTTGTTCAGAACTGTATAGCTAGCACATAACACAATCCCTGACACATTAGAAGGAACACACACGAAAAAGCTTTTTGAATAAATGACTTAGGTGAAAATGTTGTTTCTCTTTTGTCAGGCAAAGAAACTGACAAGCTATATCAATAAAAAGAAATGAAGTAATGGCTCAGATTTCCCTTCCTATTGATTCTTTGTTATAATCTTGGATGCCCCTTCCCTTCTCTCACTACAGAATAAGAGATCATGGCACTGGGTGCTGTGTCAGGAGTGAAATATTCCAGATGGCATTGAACAATTTAAATATATTTCGTTTTCTTATATAATCATTAGACAATGGAAATAGAGCTAACGTGACAAGGTCAGGCAGGTCTTGGCCAGCACTCAAAGCTAACATGGCTTTGAAATGTAGCTTTTCAATGCTTAGATAATGCAGGAAGTAATGATAGTTATTTTTCACTGCATTCTTATCACGGCTCCTCTTACAGTATATATGTAAAAGTTGGATCTATAACAGTCACAAAGTATATGTTGACATAATAGACAAATTCCTGAGTAATGGCTGAACTCGGATGCTGAAAATAAACAATGAACAGCATCAAGCTAATAGTTCATTTTCAGTAAATATTGTTTAGGCAAGACAAATTTTCCAATGGAACAGTCAATGGGATAGGCATATATGCTACAATTTTAATCTTCTGAACTTGGTACAATCATCTCTTCTGCTCCTGACATTCTCCAGGCCTCCTGACATTCTCAGGGTCACCTTGGGTGGTAGTATCAACAACACATAGATATAACCTCCAACTCCTCACCTTTCATATCCATTGCAGTGTAGAAAGTTATCTTTGCTCTTATGTTTCAACCTATTCTTAATCTCTTAGTTTTTGATTTCATTTCTTTTTTGGGGGGATCACAAGCCTATGACTTGGCCTCTCCTATATTAGATTCTGGCTCCTCTCCTTCATTATATTGTAGATTTTTCCTACTGGAGACCACAGGTTTCTGTGAGCAATGCTGTCCCAGTTTGGTCATCTTTCTACCAAAAAAAAAAAAAAAAGCCCATGTCTTTCTAGTTAGTCCCTCTAACTTAATAGAGCTTGTTACTGACACTACTCAAGTTTGGCTTGACCCATCCCACGAGCAGGACCCAGATAACGATTTTTACACCAAAATGGCATTACATTTTAATCTGTACTGCTAGCTGTAGTCTGTTTTAAAATTGCAGGTAAGGTCACTGTTCACTTTGAAGTTCACCGGAATAAGATGTCACCTAATGAAATACAATGTAAACCATATAAAGTATACTTTGCTCTAGATCTTACAACCTATTCCCTCTTAAGATCAGCCTTATTTTTGCCCTTGATCTTCTCCCCACACCAAAACACTTTTCCCGCTTCCTTTGCCACATGTTAGTAAAATGCAAAGTCTTTATGAAGATCCTGCTTGTCACAATGTCCTTTATTTATAGCCCACTGAATATTCCAAGTTCATTCCCATCCTAGGGCCTTTACACTTGCGGTTTCTTCTGCCTGCAGGGCCCTCTTTCCAAACATCTACATAGGACATTTCCACTTGAAATGTATGTTTCAGCTCACGTATTATCTTCTTCAGTCTCTATCACATTTCTTAAATTATGTCCTATGAAGCCCTTGTCATAAATGCATATTATCTTATTGCTATATCTATTTCTGTTACAATATAATTTCTTTGAGGGACGGTATTTTTAAAAAATTTTTATTTTATATTGGAGTATAGTTGATTTACAATATTGTGTTACTTTCATGTGTACAGCAAAGTGATTCAGTTAGATATATACATGTATCTATTCTTTATCAAATTCTTGTCCCATTTAGGTTATTACACAATATCGAGCAGCGTTCCCTGTGCTACACAGTAGGGCTGGTATTTTTTTGGAGGATCACTGGTTTCTAACTCAACAAATATTTGTTAACTGAATAAATAAAGCAAACCCTCCAGAGGATATGTTTTATGTGAGAAAATAATGAAATATTTCTCATTTTATCCTGTATATTATATAACACAAAAAAGTATTATTTTAGACATTAAAATACTACTGCTTATGCTGTATAATATGTAAAGCTTATAAGAAATTTTTGTTTATATATATGATCTTGAAATGGTGGGAGACTTAGAAGGCAATTTTGTGTGTGTGTCTGTATGTGAGTACTTTTCTCAGAAAAATGCATTCTGGGGGGAACAAGAAGATATATATTGCAAAGACAATAGTGTCTCTAATTTCCCACCTCCTGACAAATAAAAGTTCACAAGGTAATATTCATGTCTACCTTCATTTATTTACATGAAGATGTGAAGTCCTCAGAGAGATCTGGGTGCACCAACGACAGCTGGCTTTGGAAAGATCGTGAAGGACTGTGAATCCAAAGCCTTTCCCCTTACCTTTATTTCACCATGAAATTGGCTCTATGAATCCTATAAAGTCATTCAGCAGTTTTATTTTTTCTGCTCTAGTTGATCTCTATGTCCCTTGTATGTAGGATGAATAGCATGTGTGTTAACTTATGAAGTTATATTACCTTCATCTATCTATTCAATCAATAACTATTTATTATGCTCTTGCTGTGTGCCAGACACACTGTGGCAAGAA